GCATAGTGTCCTGATGGGTGCTCCACTGTAGGTGTGTCTGTGTCCCTGCGCTGCTGATCAGAGAATTTTGGTAGTAGTATCCATTCAGTCTGCACATGCGCTGCTCCTCGCCTGCCACGAGACTAGCCAGCATGCCTGGGCGAACCCTCCTCAGTTCTTCCTCAACCATCCCTGGCTAGAGATGGAGCTGGAGCTGTTCGTTCACAGATTAACTCTTTTAGAATTGCTAATTTTTAGCTTCCCTGGAAGCCTTTTTTCTTTGCTAACTTTGTTTGCATTTTATTTTGGCCTTGCCTTTAAAAAAAAAAAAAAAAAAAAAAAAGACTGTCTTCTGCCAATCCCTGAGGCAGGGGACCCCAGCTTCAAAAAGTGCCTCAGTTGCAAGGAATCTATCCCAGTGACTGATGGACACTCGCAGTGTGTTCGCTGCCTGGGAGAGAGAAACATTCCACAGAAGTGTTTCTTGTGTCAGCGACTGAAGCCCATATGCAGGAAAGAGAACTGAGACTCAAACTTCTACTCATGGAGTCAGGCCCTCAACCTCTGGAGTCCTGGCAGGAGCCCTCACCGCAACCCTCTACTTTGAAGGGAGGTGAGTCCAGGGAGACATCTGCGAACCACTCACATAAGGCCTCTAAGAAAAGGTTTGTGAGGCCGCTTAGTGAGCCCCAATCAAGCCCAAAACAATCTCAGGCTTGATCAGTATCATTGGTATCAATGGCACCAAAGCCATCTAAATCTGGTACCCTGGGCATGCACAGTACCGAGTTGACAGAGCAAGTCGGGCTGCCTAAAGACCCAACGGGCACAAGCAAGGAAGCACCAGTAATGCGGGGGCATGGAAAACATAGGAGTGCATAGCACAAAGGTGGACAGTCTCAGCTGAAAATTCCCACATGACCACGAGTGGGAAATAGATTCAGTGTTCCTCCATGACATATTCCAACAATGGAGGACACCAACAGTATACCTATTCGCTACTTACAAGAACAAGAAATGTCCACAGTATTGCTCTAGAGCAGGGATCAGATAATGCTCGATGGGAGATGCTCTCCTCCTTCTCTGGGATAAGGGTCGTCTTTACACCTTTCCTCCATTCCTTCTAATACTGAAAGTCCTGTTGAAAGTGAAAAGAGAAAAAACAAACAACATACTGATTGTGCCCACCTGGCCCAGACAGACATGGTACCCTTACCTGTAACAGCTGACACTGTGCACCGATGACTCTTCCAATCACTCTTTACCTGCTATCCATCCCAACCTGTGGGTTCTGCGACTCAAAGCCTGGCTCCTTCATGGTTCCAGCACATAGAGACATCTTGCTCTGAAGAGGTACGGGAGATGTTATTACACATTAGGAAAGGAGGTACTCATTGTACCTACCTACAAAAGGAAAAGATCTCAAATCTGGTGTCAGCCCAAAGACATCACCTCTAATGCAGCCTCACTACCAGTAGTCCTGGACTACCTGTTGACTCTCAAGAAATCAGGTCTCCCTATTAGCTCGCTAAAGGTTCACCTAGCAGCAATGCAAACTTCCACCAGCAGGTAGAAGGATACTCAATCTTTTCCTATCCAGTTACAAAGAGGTTTCTCAAAGGCATAGTGAACCTCTTTCTCTAACCCAAACTTCCCACTCCTCAGTGGGTCTCAACCTAGTGTTAAAAGGACTGACTAGACCTCCATTTGAACCCCTGGCCACTTGTTCATTAACTCACCTTTCAATGAAAATGACGTTCCTGATCACCATTACCTCAGCAAGAAGGATAGGGGAGATAGTGGCGCTAATGATGCATCCCCCATTCATTGTGTTCTTCCCTGACAAAGTCACTCTTAGACCACATCCGAAATTCATTCCCAAGGTAACTTCTACATTTCATATAAATCAGCTTATTCAGCTTCCAGCCTGTTATCCCAAACCTCATCAGGATAATAGGGACAGCTTATTCAGCTTCCAGCCTGTTATCCCAAACCTCATCAGGATAATAGGGAAGGCATCCTCCATACGCTTGATGTGCAGAGAGCCTTGGCCTTCAGTTTAGACAGAACAAGAGCTTTCAGAAAGACTCCGAGACTCTTCCTCTCCATTGCAGATAAGTTAAAAGGTACAGCGATTTCAGCTCAAAGACTCTTGAAATGGGTCTCGAACTGTATAAGGCTCTGTTACCAGATGCATAATGTAACATTCCCGTCTTCAATATGCATGCACTCTATGAGATCGGTTTCCTTTTCCGTCACCTTCTCCAAGGCTTTCAGAAAATCTGTATCAGAAATCTGCAGAGCAGCTACCTGGGCATCTGCACAGACCTTTGCAGAACATTGTGTTATCGTGGGGGACTTAGCTGCAGCTGCCAGATTTAATGCCATGGAGCTATCATCTATAACAGTCTCGACTCTGAAGCCCCAGTCACTTGTGGTGGGCACTTTTCAGGAGTCACCACAGTGGAGAACCCATAGGGACACTACTCAAAGAAGAAGTTACTCACCTTGTGCAGTAACGATGGTTCATCGAGATGTGTCTCTCTATGGGTGCTCCACGACCCACCTTCTTCCCCTCTACTTCAGAGTTCTTGTCATTGACTCTGTGGTAGAGAAGGAATCGAGGAGGGTTTGCCTGTGCATGCTGGCTAACCTTGTGGTAGGCGAGGAGCAGCGCATGCACAGGTGGAATGGACACTGCTACCAAAGTTCTCCAATCAGCAGAGCAAGGATGCAAACACATCTACAGTGGAGCACCCACAGAGAGACACATCTCAACGAACCCTCATTACTGCACAAGGTGAGTAACTTCTTTCCATAGGTATGGTTCCTTTGTTCTTCTATGATTGGAAAATCTGTGGATTCATGGAAAACTCTCCTCATATGTTTTAGTCTCTAAGCGTAGGAATCCAGTTAATATGGCTTTTTTAGAGAAAGGATAACCTGTAATTATGCTTCTTGGAAGATGTCTTCTGACCGGATTCCTACTCATCCACCTGTCTCCCCTCACAGTTGAGAAGGAGGCAATATTTTTCAAAAGCGAATTCTTTTTTTCTGATGGACTCCTCCTATCTTATAAATATTTGTTGACTGTTTGTTAGTTACACTTAGAATTTAGGGATAACTCCACTTCCCTCTCTTGAAGGAACTACAGTGGAATGATCCAGGTAGTACTGAGGCATTGGTAGTTGGTCTCAGAATAGGGCTAAACTAACTGGGCTTCAAAAACCCCAACTCTTTGAGATTTAGGGGGTTCCAACCTTTGTTGCAATAGGGAGTGGAACCAGAAGAGTAGGAATCTGGTCAAACAATACAGTCAGACAAGTAGTATTACAAGTAAGTAATTGTCTCTTCACTGTAGAAACTCAGCTTTGAACTACTGGTATCACCCAATTTATTCCTCTAATTTAAATTCTCTACCTTTTAAAAACATGTCTTCCCAGGCACTCAACAAAAGTATGAGTCAAAGTGTTGACTGTAATTTAATCTTAGTTTTATTGTCATAGGAATGTGTCTACAAAAGAGATGGGAATATGCTACTTTGCAAAACCTTTTTTTAGTCTTTTGCTATAATGTAAATGAATTTGAAATATTCTTCTCTGAGTGCTTTCTTATGTCCATTCCGTGTTAGGTGTGTGCATGCCGTGTGCACTGTTGCTGGCGATTTTTCCCTCAGTGGTATCCATTGGGCCGGCTCTATCACCCTTTGTTGCTGCGCGCTTATGCACTGGTAAAAGGGGCACCACCGGCCACAGACACTCTCAATTCCTTCTTACCACTGATGACAGTTGCTTGAATGACTCTTCTTGCTTTGGCAAGGCTTCTTCCCTGTGGTTTTTGGACTATAACCCTTAGTTTATCATAGTTTAGAGTATATAATTATTGTGATTAGTGTTAGTGTACATAGTTACTGTAAATAGTCCCTATCATCAAGGGACA